TTTACTGGTTTTATAAAAGTTAATTCTAAGTAATTCAATTTTATAAGTTATTGAATTTTTCTATTATCACTTAAGTTGAGAGAACTGCTATCAAACACACCATCTAAGTCAGGTATTTAATGAAGATAGACAGAATCAAGTAGGCAAATAAAATGACCACGTTTCCAGTGATGAAATAAAAATGAAATAATAAATAAAAAATTAAATATTAAATAAAAATATATATTCTGATTCAATTAAAGACAATACAATAGGACAATATATCGGAGGATGTTGAACAAAATGCAGAATTAGCTATATATACCATAGAAGAAAATTATTTTTTTAAATTTATTAAATTTTTTTTTTTAAATTTATTAAATTTTTTTTTAAATTTAATAAATTTTTTTTTTAAATTTATTAAATTTTTGTTTTAAATTTATTAAATTTTTGTTTTAAAATTTATATATATATATTTTTTTATATATATATATACTTTTTTTTAACTAATAATTATTTTTATTATAACTTTCTTGAATTAATTATTTTTATTTTAATTTTTTAAAAATAAATTAATTATATTTATTTTATTTATTAATAACTTTTTTCTATTTATTTTCTTTCATTATGTATTTATTTTTCTTTCTTTTCTTTCTATCTTTCATTTCTTTTTTAATTATTAATCATTTCATTTTTTTTTTATTTATTAATAATTTTGTTAATAATTTTTTTCTATTTATTGACCAATTCTTTTTTATTTAAAAAAATTTATTTTTTATTTATTAATAGTTTTTTCATATATTAATTTTTTTTACGAAACTTAATTTCTTTTGAATTGAAACACATTTTTAATAAATTTAAAATAATATTTTTCATAAATATTATTCATTCATTTAAAAATATTTAGAATAGAATTATTAAAAGGAATAATGTATTATATATAGAATTATAAAATTTTATATATATATATTTTTGTATAAAATGCTTAAGATATAGACAATGCAATATAGACAGTGCAATATAGACAATAGAATAAAGAGGATGACCTACGTCAGTTTTATTAATATTAATTAATGTTAGATCGTGATTCTGGTGATGACTCTCAAAGAGAGTCGAAATATAGAATATATTAAAAAATATTAAACAAACATTAAATTATTTAACAAAAAGTGAACTGCATCTGAATTAAAAAACATATATAAAAACTATTAATTATTTATTTAATATAAATCATTTGTAAAGACATATTATTTGGTATGTTTTTATTAAAATATATTAAAAATTTTGTTTGATTTTTTTATTAATAAATGTCCTAAATGTCTATAATTACAAATTTTCTCAAAATCAAATTAATCTCAAATTAATCTCAAAAATTAATTTTTAATCAGTTAATTGCTTGAACTGATCATATAGCTGTTTCGGATACTATCAAATATCCATTATCCTTTTTCTTTGGTCTTTGGAGACATCTATAATTTATAGATATAGTTTTTGGTGTGCAATTGTCAGGAATGAGATTTGAATCGTTGACTTACGTTTTGGCACTCAAAGCCAACAAACACTCACTTTGTGTTATTCAAATTTCAAGCTTTGTCAATTTATTGTGTGATTGCTGGTGCTGTTCTTAAAAGAAACGCATAAACCACAGCTATATATGTTTACTGAATTAATATTAATTTTTATTTTGTTTTAAATTTGAACAGTTTTGCTCGTAGAAGTTTTTGTTTCTTAGTTCAAACTTATTAGATATGTGATATCATTACTATTATTACTTAATATTTTATGAACTCTTCAATTTCACTCATTTTAAGACAAAATTAAAATCAAAAGAAATTTATAATAAAAAGTTCCGTTTTATTAAAACCTAATTTAGTGGTGGCCTCGTTGATGTGCTCTCACACAAAGAAAATTAAATAAAATTTTTATTATGATTACTAAAAAGTAATCAAAAATAAATAATTAATCAATGAGCCATGTTAAAGAGCTCATTTAAAGAAATTAAAAGCAAAGTAGATTGCATTGAATATCTTTACTTGCTCTATTTATTAACTTACTTCTATTGGAAGTACTTGGAAAAATTGATTACTACTTGTGTTTCCTAATTGACTCTGCGTTATTTACTGACATAAATGTCCACTTGAGTATTTTTATGCTGCATCGCGCACTTAACTCTTCTAATCACATTAAAAGAATTAAAAGTTAGAATTGAAAGAGGTTTTATACTTACTTAAAACAAAAACAAATTACACACAAAGAACTTAGTAGGATAAAAATGGACTCTTACATATCTCGTATATATCTAGGTATGCGTTTGCAGAGTGGGTATGTAGACTGTGTGGGATATACAGAGAAGAGAAGAGCCTAGAAAATTCCAACAGGAAAATAACAACGTAAAAAATAAAAAGAATATTTTACGAGAAGATGCCACATTTGTATTGTATATTGCATTGTTTATATGAAATACAAAAAGTACACTGAAAAAAATTCTTAACAATTGTAGAAGAATATTATTATTTGTGAATTCACACCAAAATCAATTTTGAAATTAACCAAGAATAAGGAACTGAACTACTAGGTAGGCTAGGCCCTAAAAAGGAAGAATAGTCATTTTACTACGTTTGAGGGAAAGGAATAAAATGTTTTTGCTTTACATAAAATTGAAAATTAATTCATTCACACAAATGAATATATGACATATACCCATTATTTTTAATTTTAAATGGTAAAATGTATTAGGAACCAGCAGAATCAATACCAGAATAAGTTTGTTCATCTATTATACAGAGTCATATAAGGTTCCTAACCACTGGATTATGTTTAAAGTACAAATATTTGTTTGAAGGGAAAGTCTAACTATCCAATATATTTCTTTATACATAGTTAATCGAATAGAAAATCTTTGTATTGTGTGGTATTTAATCTGTAGGTGTACCAAAAATCATCAGATTTAAATAATACAATTACATATGGTTGCGAAAAATATGTGGTTTCATTAGGACGATGCTATAAGCCACACAACACAACATTTTTTTGGCTTTGTTGTATGAGAAATTTCTTCAAAGTCTAACCTCAAATTATGATGATATAAATTGGCCATTAAGATCATGCGCTTTGTATTCGTGGGATTACACGAGGATCACTTTAACGCGAACGATTCTCAAGTTTTAATCACTTTGAAAACAAACATTCGTCTACTTAAAGCCAAGCCATTATCAGCCCTACGCCGATCCAGTACTACAAGATACCCCGTGAAGAAAATTTAAGTGAATTGAATTTATTTAAATTTGCCAAATAAACACTTATAAATGAAATATTATTTTAAGAATTTATGATGTACTAACTTTCTTTTAATAGCTCTGGATAACAACTTTCTTGTAAGAGCTTTGTATAAATAAAAATGAACTTGGGTTCTATTGTAACTCTTCTGGTTGCAATACCGGCTGTTGGGCGAATTCACGATACTAGTTAAAAAGTCCAAAAAAAAAAAAATTTACTAATTTTATCAACAATAATCAACTAGTTTCTTTTTTTTACTAACATGATCTTTTCAAAAACTAAGGAATTAAATTATCGTTTATTTGCTTACTTAGGAATAGGAATCAATGGAATAGCAACTCTTAACGTAGCAAAGCACTGCGAACATTGGTTTATCTTTTGTGCTGCAACAGACCCTAACCGAACAGAAAACATTCCGCCTTCCGAATGAGAGCCAGAATGTCGGTCGTTGAGGACCTCCTAATGTAAGAAGGAAAGAGTAGTTCTCAATCTCCTTCTGGCCTAGATCAAGGCTGGACAGTCACAGAGAATGTGACTGGATATTTGCTTACTTAATCTATTTAGATTAATAATAAGACTTAATGCAAAGTTTCATTAGATTATCTTAAAAACTGAGAGACTAAATTATCAGTAATTTAGATTTATAAGACCTTTACATAATTTCGTTATATTAAAAACAGAAAGTCTAAATTATCGGTATCCAAATAGATAAATGGACAGACAAAAGCCAGACAATCAGATCGTCATCGTTAAATTGATTTTTTAACGATAATTATACAATAATATATGATTAATGTCGTTTTCAAAAATTTTTTCATGGCATTACACATATTTTAACAGGGTATAAAAATTAAAAATATTAATTATTTATTAAATATATTATATATTTTTTGCTTTCAACAAGATTTTAATTGACTACAACATTTCCGGTAAAAAGCAACTTAAACTTTATTAAACGTTCGTAGGGTTCTTAAATGTTTTGACTTTTATAGTTTAAGGTTTATAGGTTTACGAGCGGATCTGTGGCAGATTCTACGTAAACCGCTTATGGGTTTGTTGCGTTACTTTATGGTTCTTACTTAAAGATGTCAACTAACACATCTAATACAATTGCCCAAAAGACTATTGACACATTTTATAGATCTATAGTGACCTTTTCTGAAATTAAGAAACTCACGCAACCCTAAACTAATAACAAAAAAAAACCAATTTATTTCCTGAAATATCTTATATCCATAAAAATAAAAATGTAGGACACGTGTTGACCCACTCCAGTGGATCCAGTCAACCTGAGCAGGCTGGCTGGCTGACTTCCTTTAACAATTATTAGGAATGGTTTTTTCTTTTAAGTGTAACGTGTAACGGCGGCACTTAAGGAGAAAAACTACTTACTATATAGTAAAAAAAAATATGAATGAAAAAAAAACTGATATAACAGCGAAACGGAACGACTTATCCCCAACGCGACGCGACACACGAGTTCGCGTTCCCTTCAATGTGGAAAACGAACTGCGCTGAACAGAATTTAAGCAGAATTTTTCGCCCAAACATGCACGAGAAGCGATGCTAAGCGCGCGAATGTGCGAGTGTGCCGCGTTTCACGTATAAAATCGAGTGCGCGCCAGAATAAATTCGACAATTCCAAATTGGATTTCGTACTCGCAGGAACAACAAACCAAATTGTGCCAAAATTGATTAAAAAAATTATTTGTAAATATTTAAAAAATAATAAACCGAAAGCGAGAGCAAAAAATAAATTAAATATTGTTAAATAGAGTGAAAAAAAAAAAAATTTGCTAAAACAGAAATAATAACAAAAAGGATTTATAAGGATTACTGCTGTATTCATATATAAACACACAAAAAATAAAAGGATTGCTTTATAGGCTTTGAAAGTAAAAACAAAAATCCTTTCCCCCATAAGCAAAGTCCTTTTCATACGTTCTGAACTCAATAAAAACCTAAACAAATCTGTTTCAGATTGAAAAAAAAAACAAAACAGAAGTAGACCGTGCAAAACAGTAAAAATAAGAAAAAAACGAACACTTGGGAGTTCCTTTCCAAACGTCCAAGAAATGTTGCCAAAAGTTTTTTATATTTGCTTCACCGTCATTTTGATGCTCTCAACTGTGCTGCAACTCGGCCAATGTGGACCAGTGCCAAAAGTGAATGAGGTAAGCACATAATACCTTTAATATTTTTTCCTTAAAATGAAGTTAAAGTAAGCAATAGAAGCAATGAGTTCAATAAACTCAGTTTCTCTTGCCTTCCAGCCCCTAAAATAACAAGGCCGTGAGAATAGGTCTTTATAGTCAAACCTGACTTACACTGATCTTGCATTGGTGCAGAATACCTTTAATATTTTTTTCTTGAAATTAAGTTAAACTAAGCAATAGAAGCAATGAGTTCAATAAACTCAGTTTCTCTTGCCTTCCACTCCCTAAAGTAATAAGGACGTGAGAATAGGTCTTTATAGTCAAACCTTACTTACACTCATTTTCCATTAGTGCATCAATCGACATAAAGTAACGCCATAGGTTAGATTTGATTAATCTGATTAGTTAGAGATGTGTTTAATTTATTAGAAAATGTATATATTTATTTAACAGTGGTTAAAATCACAACTAGATTAACAAACAAATCTTTGAAAAAAACTCTGACAAGCAATCGCATCTATCTTAACTTTCAATTTCATCTTCCATATGTTATCATGTTCTCGTTTCTTGAAAAACAGATATGCAATCTCTTAAAAATATTATTTTTTAATAAATCAATAGTCAATAATTTCTTTTATTAATAAAAGTTTAATTAAATAAGAGAGTTTCTTCTATCTATACTCAAAAAGACCTTGAATAAAAGTCAACTATAGTTTACATTTACCACCAAATTAAATTATGTTAGTTTTTAAATAAATAACATTATGAACACTAAACAAAAAATAATAACTCTATAAATTAATAGTAATGACTTTTTCACATGTTTCTTTATAAATGTAGAATATAGGGACAAATAAGTAATAAATATATAGTTTAGATTATTACAGTGACCTAAGGGATGCAATTCGGTCTTCTAAGTAATTGTGTTAGATGTGGGAGAACATCTTTAAATAAGAACCATAAAGTAACGCAACAAACCTATAAGCGGTATACGTAGAATCTGCCGCAGATCCACTCGTAAACATAACTTAACCTATGAAAGTCATAGGTTTAAGAACAATACGAACCTTTCATAAAATTTAAGTTGCATTTTACAGGATATGTTGTAGCCAACTACAATCTTGTAGGAAAACCAAAAAATATATAATATTTTTATATATAATATATATAATAACTAATTAATATAAATAAAAAGCTAAAAGAAATACATAAATAAATATAAACAAATAATTAATATTAATAAATAATTTATATTATATAAATAAATAATTAATATAAATAAATACCTAATATAAATAAGTTATTAATATAAATAAATAATTAATATAAATAAATAATTAATATAAATAAATTATTGATATAAATAAATAATTAGTATAAACCAATAGTTCATATAAATAAATAAGTAATATAAATAAATAATTAACATAAATAAATAATTAACATAAATAAATAGTTAATATAAATAAATTATTAAATATAAATAAATTATTTAATATAAATAAATAATAAATATAAATAAATAATTAATATGAGTAAATAATTAATATAAATAAATACCTAGTATAAATAAATTATTGATATAAATAAATAATTAGTATAAACCAATAGTTCATATAAATAAATAATTAATATAAATAAATAGTTAATATAAATAAATTATTTAATATAAATAAATAATAAATATAAATAAATAATTAATATAAGTAAATAATTAATATAAATAAATAAGTAGTATAAATAAATAGTTAATATAAATAAATAAATAATATGAATAAAATATTAATATACATAAATAATTAATATTAATAAATAATTAACATAAATAAATAATTAATATAAATAAATAATTAATATAAATAAAAAATTAATAAAAATAAAAAATTAATATAAATAAATAATTAATATAAATAAATAATTAATATAAACAAATAATTAATATAAATAAATAATTAATATAAACAAATAGATAATATAAATAAATTATTTAATATAAATAAATAATAAATAAAAATAAATAATTAATATGAGTAAATAATTAATATAAATAAATAATTAATATAAATAAATAATTAATATAAATAAATAATTAATATAAATAAATGATTAATACAAATAAATAATTAATATAAATAAATAATTAATATAAATAAATAATATAAATAATAGTATATAATATACAGAATAGTATATAATATATGTATATAAAAGTCATTATTATGCCCTTAATTGCTCTATAGCCTTTTCTGAGATAGTACTTTTATTATGATAAAGTACTAAAGTACTGCTATCTAAAATTTATAATTAATATTATATTAATTATTTTTTGATTTTTCTATATAGAATAAACAATTGCTTAATATATTAAACTATAATATTTTAATATTATATATGTATAATAATGTACATATATATACATATACAAAGTTACTACCCCAAAAGCTTATTTTGGACTAACTTAAGATGTTCGCATAATTACTTGAATCTAACATTTCTAAAGTTTTATTAACAAAAAATTTTAACTTTTCTTTTTTACTTAAATTATTATATATTATAAATATATTATAAATTATTATTATAATATTGCATCTTATTTTCCCACACATTTTACCTTATCTACTTAAATATTGTAATAAGGAAATAAATAATAAAATTAATAGCTCATAAAGCAGGGTTTCTCACTCCTTCCTATCAACTGAGAAAATTTAATTGTTTCAAAATTAACAAACAAAAATAATGCAAAATAAAAAAATAAAATACATAAGAAAATAATAATAAAAAACCAAAAACAAAAACATTAATTAATAATAAATTTTGAAAATGAATTAAAAACAAAACCTTTTCAACCAGGCATAAACAACTTTGTCTAGTATAAAGACTTTCCTGACCTGCTTATCAGGGCTTGGAATCTCTTCATCAATCTATTTGATTTATTTTTTTAATTTAGAAAAAATTAGCATTATTAAGTTTTCACTTGCACGTTGAGCACCAACAATAGAAGATACAATTTTAAATGCTATTGAATTGCACTAAAAATAACAACAAAACGGGAAAGTCAGACTTTTAGGTGACCCTTGAAGAAGAAAAAATAATAATAATATTTCAATTGTTGACAAAAATAAATATAAAGAATCACATGTGCGGACAGAAATTAGCTCACTAGTGAACGGAACCGGCAGAGGCGAAGTGGCTTAGTTACTAAGTGAAGACAGAAAAGAAACCACAATTGATTGACAAAAAAGTATCTTTAAGTGTGTAGACTTCGAGTCGAGAGTTCAGGTCAAGTTGCGAATACAAAAGAAAATTTAATTATTTAAATAGAAATCCCCACTGGGTTATTTTGTCAGTAGTAATTGAGTCCAGAGTGTTCAAAATTAGGCGCACGCATGGTAAATTACGCAGATTTAATTTATTTTTTTCAAATCGAATTTTACGAGGGAATCAGCCAATGAAGCTTTAAATGATATATGTCACGTCACGTTAACGTTTAGCTGCTTTCATTTCTAGGGTTGCACAGCAGAATATATTCTCTTAAGGGTTAAAAGAAATTATTGTTAAAGTAAATTAATCCATAACTTGTAGAGAATTGTGTATAATATTAACTTACAAATATTAACAAGAAAATTTAGTAAAAGATATATCTTCATTAATTCTTACAAGCATCTCATATAGATGTTGGAGATGTAAGACCCAAAAAAAAAATAGTATATGAGTAATGACATGTTATCAGAAGTAAAACTTCAATATTTTTTTTATTAACTTTAATATAGCATTATGTTACTACAGACAGACAGCTTAATAGTTATTGTCTTAAATAATCTGTAGTTCTCAAGTTACACATTATTTAAATGAAAAATAAATTATTAATTATGAAAAATAAATTAAATTTTAAAAAAATATATATATAAAGCATTATGTTACTATATATACTTAATATATAAATATTTACCATAGATAAAATGGAAAAACTTTAACTCAAAGAAAACAAAAAGTAAAGTAAGTTAAATATAATTAATAATTAATATGAAGTAAACAAAAACCGCAAATAATAACATACTAATTAAGCAAATTAAAAATAAAACTAGTATTAAAAAAAAAAAAATAATAACACCAGAACCAAAACAAAATAAAAATATTAAAAATTGAAATAATTTATATAAAAAATACAAAAATAAAAACAAATAAAACATAATAAAAATAAAAAATATATAAAAAAGTAAAATAAAATAAACAAAAATAAAAAATAAAAAAAGTAAAAAAAAAAATAAAAAAAAAATAATATAAAAATAATAAAATTAAAATTAAAATAAAATAAAATTAACAAAAATAAAAAAAATATAATGAAAATAAAAAAATAAAATAAAATTAACAAAAATAAAAAAATATAATGAATATAAAATAATAAAATAAAAAATAAAATACAAAAATAAAATAATAAAATAAAATAAAAAATAAAATAAAATAAAAACAAAACTCAAAACTCATTCAATTTAAATATAATAATTTTTAAAGAACCAACAATGACAATTAGTGATTTTTAGTAATATTATTTAAATTTTAATTATTATTAATTCTTATAACAAAAAAATTATTAATAAAAATTACAACTTATTTAGAAAATTATTATTTGTCTAAATTATTTTCAAACCAACTCATTGAAATTTACTATATTATGCTTTTTTTATTATAATCAAATTTTATTCTACAAAATAAAGTTGAATTATTTAAAATTATAACCAAATTAAGTAAATTAAATATAAAATATCAACAAAAATAATAATTATAATTATAACAATTATGTAAAATAAAGTATATAATTAAATAATTAAATTAAAATAAATTAATAATTAAAATTAATAAATTAAAATATATAATTAATAAAATAAATAATAATATAATAATATTATGTTATATATATAATAATATTATATTATAAAAAATATAATAAGTAATATATTATAATAAATAATTTAAATACAAACTTCATGTTTAAAGAAAATAGCATCAATACCAAAATAATAAAGCGATAAATAAAAAATAAAAACAATAGTAAAAAATATAGAAATATATATAATTATATATATATTATAAGTTATTAAATCACATAAATTTAAAATATTAAATTTATATACAAAAATTAAATATAATATAAAGATAAAATAAAAGAATAACAATAAAATAAGTTAAGTAAGTTATATCAGAATAATATACTAGTAATATAATAATATATTATAATTTTGTGTATATTTATAATTATTTATTAAAATATTGTAAGAATATAACAATAGTATTGAATTATTTATAAGCATAATAAAATGCTAAAAAATAAGGCATGATATAAAATCTTGATTAATTGTCAATACTTGACAAATTTGTCAAGTTCAGATAATAGGAGGGATAATATATATAAAATAACATATATATAAAATAATATATATAAAAAATAATATATATATATATATATATACATAATTATTTTTTTTTAAAGAAGTTAAAGAAAACACTACAATGTATATTGAAATACTAGAAAATATTAGAAATATATATATTGAAAACTTATCTATAATAAATAAAATAAAAAATATCTGATGTAAATAACGTTTTTTATATTAATAAAATTAAATTTTTTTTTTATTATTCTATTTTTAGCAACAACTTTTAATGCCCAAAATTCCACAATGGCATTGTCTGCGCTACTTCAAACATGATCTTCTAATGATGAGACGTTGTCGACATGTACATGTTCCAACAGCCCCTCGTATGGGTGATGTGAAAATGGATATCATACATAAATAAGACAGCAATGAGAATGTATATACAAGAACAATGAGAACAGAATAATTCCTTCAAGATCTAAAAGGAAATTAAACTAATGCAGAAGAAAATCGGCTAAGTCGAGTTGCAAATATTTAAGGCTTATAATTATTTTATAAAATAAAGAAAATATTTCTTAATCAATATTTAAACAAATTGGATAACTGATGGGACTTAAATTTTTTTTATATATTTTATATATTGTTTTGAGTTAAGTTAAGCTATATTTCTTTATACTCTATATACAAAAGAATGCATCCAAAGCAGTAAAAAAAAAAATTTCAAATTTTTTAAAAATTTACATTTGATACTCAATTTTATATTAATTTGAAAATAATAAATATTTAAATAAAATTAAGTTACTTATTATTTTTTTACGTTCTCATATATAATATAATAAGAATATTATGTATGTTATGTCGTTTTTGTCAACTTTATATTTTAAATAAATATTATATATTTTTAATATATAGGTACATATATATTATAATGAGTTCATTTTTTAATAAATTTATTGATTTATTAAAAATTATATTTTATTTTGTATGAATTTATATTTATTACAAATACAAATAAATTAATTTAATTTTTTATTAAATTTAATTTTTGAATGTTCTTTAAAGGTAAGGACTTTTTTATAGTTCTTTTAATTAGATTTGTATTTGCATTATATTTTTATATGTTGTTATTATTGTAACCCTGCTCATGAAATCCCCTTGAAGGGAGTTAAACGGCACTTGATCGTCGAAATTGACGAGTAGCTCCGGGACGTAGACCTTTAGGGTTTTTCACTCATTTTTTTATAAGTTATTATTTAAGTAATTAAATTTTATTTCTATATTTTTGAATAGGTTAATTTATTTTTTAATTAACAAAATATTAACATATGTATATATATTAGTCAAATTTTTTATTAAATGCCTTATAGAAGAAAATAAAAATCCAATAAAATAAATAAATAATTTTAACAACATTTAGTGCTGTAAAAATTTTTTTGCTATTTTAAACACATATACGCTTTTTTTATATTAATCTATTTAATATAATATATTAGAGAATATAATAATAACATAATGTAATATATTACGATATATTATATGTAATAATATATAATAATACAATATAATATATTGTATTTTATTATACATTTATTAAAATGCATTATTTTTTTTTATATTATTTGTTTAAAATTTCATTTAATTTGTATTTGTAATATGCAAAATATTTTATTAACCTTAAATTTAATTTAATTTTTATTTTTAATTTAATAATTTATTCTTTTTAATAATTTAGAAAAAAAATTTGGTAATGCAATTGTACTTCCATAATTTTGAGTTAAAATTATTATTAGGAAAATAATTTCTGTTTAAAGTTCACTAAATTCATATATGTGTATAACATTTTTTTCAATTGTTTTTATATGATTATACAAATATACAAATATCCATATATACATATACATAAAACAACAGCACTGAGAAAGTTTAAAATAAATAAATTATCAATACTTAATAAATAAAATAATTATTTATTTAGAAGCCAATGGTTTGTATAAAGTAAATTCATATAAAGAAAAATTATTGAAAGTATTGAGAGATAAGTCGAGTCTACATTCCAAAATCTTTTATCTCCGACGCCCAAACTTGACTAGTTAAATTTCAACTAATCTCTTTAAATTTTTATTATTTGTAAGGATGGTTGAAAGACACGGTTTATAATGACATGTCTAACAGCCTCTATGGAGGTTCTCTTAAAACTTATATATCTTTATGTTTGTATTCAGTCACAAACTCGAAAAGAGCTATAGGCAGCTGTAGACATCATAAGATGTTTGAAATTCTCACAAAAACAATGCTTTGAAATCTTAAAGCGTAAGGAAATATGAATGGTTCTGATATCAAACCTGAGATTTCTGAACAAACAAGTTCAGAAATGACTCAAATTGGTCCGAGACGTATTATTAGACACGGGCCGCACATATATTAGCTATATCATATTAGCGTTATTTGCCGGTATTGTCCAAGCACCTACGACTTTTTTTTATATTTGATACAGAACACGGACCGAGCAACTGGGCTTTGCATTAAAAAAAGTAAATCGAACTAAAAGTTTAATGTTTCCTTGAAACACTAAATATTATAAATTATATATAATTATATATACAGTACAAATTTAAATACACAATATAATCAACTTACCGCTTTTATAGCTTCCTTTCCAGCATTGCTTTGCACAAGAGGTCCAATGCGTTGTCTAACAGGTTTTTTATTAATAATTTGCTTAGTGGCATATGTTCCAAAAGTTGTATATTGCACGCCCAAAGGTGTTGATGTTTTCTCAAATATAACAGGTTTTGGTGCACCTGCATCTAAATCTTCATCAGCGCTTAGATAAATAATTTCCTAATGTACACGAAATACAAAATTAATAAATTAAATAGGAATAATATAATAATAACATTACCAACCTGCTTTTCAGTTAAAAAGAATAATATAGACTGAGACTGCCAGTTAATGTTTAATGAACTTGGTATAACGTAACGACGTGGTAACCAAACGGTACCGTGCATTTCAGGCATACTAGCACGATGATACAAGGGCCACGTCACATGAGGTTGAAACACAAACACTAAAATAGAGAAAAACAATATTTTATATTTATTATTATGCATATAGCTTTTTATAATATAAATTTAGCTACACTTACATTCATTATGTATATTAATTACAGCTACTAAACTATTAAGAGGATCGAATGAAAAGTGTTTCATGGACAGATTCATAACACTTTCAATGCGTAGTGTAAGTAAATTCCAGATCAACACACGATTCTCTGTGCAGGCGAGTATCTAAAAATCATGAAAAATAAAAGAAATAAAATACAAGATTTGATTTTGTTTGATCATAGCAAAAAGTAACACTATCTGATTTTTTTAAAAATATCTTACTTAATATCTTACTTAAGACCTCTGTTATGAATTGTATACAAGTATACAAGCTTCAGATTTTTGTGGAATAGAAATAGTGTAAAAAACTTGGTAACAAAATAATCCATTGTGGATGAGACGCTGCGTACGCGTCTAAAGAGAACTACTGCAAAGGCCGAAAACCAGCAACAGGTTGCTAAGAGATGTGGCTTATGATAGGGAAGGAAAGGAAGGCTGTCAAATTAGCCATGTTCGAAAATATGGTTTAATGTGAAAAATTTGGTAATAAAATAATCCATTGTGGATATATATATATATATATATATATAAGTGGAGGAAGGAACGAATCCTCCTCAATTAGCTGAAAAATTTTGAATATACAATTCGTCGTAAAAGAGGGTAGAAGAAGATCGAACTAAATCCAGCCAGAAGCATTTATAAAGGCAAGAGTCTGGCGATATCTCGAAAATTCTTATACTGACGATATCGCTGAGTGTGTTAAAGAAGGTGGCCTCCAAAAACCTAAGCATAGTTCTGGCCAGACCTGGAGATAGACACAACAGGTATTCTAGTGCCCTTTCTTCGAAAATTGGTTGACATGCGTTGCAGGAGATACCACAGGGTATGCCGAGTCTAGCTCCATACCGTCCTATGGTCCAATGCCCTGCAAAGGTAAATATTAACCTAGATACCTCTGATTTGTTTCTGTATATCAAATCAGATGTTCTGCATTTGGAATAAATTGGCCAAGTATCCCTTGACCAGACTGTTGAGGCAGTAAAGGACCACTCACTATTAGTCTGTCGTAAGAAATGGTATTAAATCAACCTCCGACTGTAACTGCCAGGGGCAGGGATTGAAATAGCGGTATCCGTAGAAGAGGCACCCAATCTAGCAAGCTCATCTACCCGCTCATTAGAATACTATATTAGAATACCCGGGAACTCAAACTTGAGTTATCTTGAAAATTAGAAATTAGATATTTTTTATCTACAAATTGTTTGAACTGATTTTGCGAAACAAAATCCAACTTGATATGCTTAAACAACTTACACGGCAAGTAAACACCGCACCCTAAATCATCTTAAAATAATCTTCAATAGTGTCATACCAAAAAATAAGAAAAACAAATAACTATTACTTTAATAAATTCTTTAACTTACCATATGTGCAAACTGATTAGTTGCGAATTGGACTTTTTTAATAACTGCAGGTACCTGTGGTATTGGCAGTATTCTATGCGTCGTCCGATCATATGCTTCTTTTCTCTCTTTTTGTTGTTGAGTTATGTCTTCTTGACGAGACGTGTTTTTACTCTCCTTAGATGATTTGGTAATATCCTGAATATTGAGCACACTAAGTATAGGAACCAGATTCTGAGCTATTTCCTCATCATAATTTCGTTTCCGTCTTGTGTACAAATGCAGACGATATTTCGCTCTAAACCGTTCTCGTCTGCTAAGTTGTGCCACTTTTTTATGCAAATCCTTTATTTTCACATTGATAAATTCATTACACACTGTTTTCCGTAGATAGCTAGCTAATCTTGTTTCCATTCCTTCACGTGGCTTACAGGTGATGCCCAGTTTTTGAAATAGCAAAACCTTTTGATAAAAATTTAATTCTTGTATGTCCAATATTTCACGAAACAGCTCTTTTTTATCTTCCTGAGAAACAGCTGACAAAGATGTTACTGGTTGCTGCTGCACTGTAGAGCTTGTATCAGATGTATTAAGCAATTCTTGTAAATTATTTAATGCACTTTTCTCATTATCTTCCAGAAGATTCACAAAAAATTGCATGACTTTTGCGCGCTTTTCGTACATTTCATCATCAAATGTAGTCTTTACCTTCGGTACAACTATTTGTGCTTTGTGTATAGCTCCATCTGCGCCTACAGTGCCACTTAGCGCTACTTTTAGCTTTAATGTAGCCATATTATATATACAAAGCGTATCACCAAAGCCAGCAGCAAGCAGTGAACCATCTTGTGAAAATGATAAGGATGCTATTGGCAAATCTTTGTAACTAAATTGTGCTAAGTTATACCAGTATTTGTCCGTTTTATGTATATCATCCGATGTGCCAAGTGCCCAAAGTTTAACTTTATGATCTTTGCCTGCTGTGGCACAAAGCAGATTATCTACGCTATAATCACTTGAGAATTCTATCGCTGACAATCCAACATCATGTGCTAATTCAATAACAGTGTTAAGTGAGTAACTGAAATAGGTTTAAATATTAGTAAGGAATGCATTGGCTTATAAATTTTAAAGAAAGATATACTTCTGTATTTCATCCTTAAAACGCCAAAATTTTAAACGCAACTCGGGAAAGTGTTCATTATCATTAAACACTTCTCCCGTCACCATCCAATCAATATTGAAAGCCGCCTGCTCCACACTTATATTGTACAGTATTTTATTAGCCTCCGTAGATAACTGATTTTGCATAACTACATCCAACTGTAAGTGAAAAAAGCATTAATGTATTAAAGGACATATGCAACAAACTGAGTAGCTTACATTGTATAGCAAACTTTTTGTGTACACTGAATAGAACTGCAAATGTCCAATGCGTCCATTGAGAGCGAGTGTATTTGAACGTGGATTTAAGCGCAAGCCTACTGGGAACCTATCCTTACCCGTTTTGTCATCTGGTATGTAGGTAAAATCGTGGAGTGTACATATTAACTTTTCATCGGCGCCCATAATACGCACTGCGTTGTCAGCTGTACATACTGCCACTTGACTATTGTTGCTACAAACAACAATATGTCTTATGTATGCACCTATCCGAGGTATAAACTGACGAATATCTGGTTTCGCTATGTTCCACTTGACCAGCACAGATTCCAAACCACTGCTATAAAAACTCGTACCAGATGCTGAAAATGCAATGCTTGTGACACTTGTATGATGCCAATGGTAAAGTGACTAATAAAAAAATTAAGAGTTAGCGATTTTTTCTTTGTTGTTGTTATTTTGTTTAACACATACTGTTTTCACGGTTTGCTGATTCATAAACTCACGCCATAAAAATATTTTGCCTAGGTTATCACCTGTTGCGATCATGTGTTCTTTGGGATGCACACGTACAACAGTTACCGGTACTTCGTGAGCATTTTTTAATCTAGAATCGTAATATTTAATATAACATTTCATTGCTCATTCCAACTACTCACCTGCTCCATTGCCATGTTTTGTAGTCAATAAAATATACATAAAATCCTTGCACCAAAGCTATGTAATTGTGATTTTCGGTATCCACACTAACAAGAGGGGTTTGTTTTCTAATATAAAAATGTAATGATATTGTAATTACAAAATTTTTCACTTAATTTACTTATTATAACAAATTACTTTAGCACAAGTGAACAGCGTACACGACGTTGATTTCCTTTATTTGTGTCTATTAGCATCCACTGCACAAATTGTGTTGTATCACTTTTATATGTAATAAATAGTGAGGCCGTGTCCGCATTGCCATAAAAATTTAACTGGTTACATGTCAACACTTTTATGTTAGGCAATTTAATTTCTAATCGCTTCATAAGGTCGCCACTTTGCCACTCCCAACGCAATAACTCGCCCGACTCTGAGCAAGCAACAAGCATATCATTCTGTTTTAAGCCAATTTCCATAGATATTAATTTATCATTTGCACCTTCAAGTTGACGCAATAACTGCCCTGTCGTTGAAGAGAACACCTGTACGAGATTGTGGCTTAAGGTGAAAAGTGCACTGCAAAAACAAGAGTAAATAAATAGATGAAAAGAATTTGATGTGTAATTCTACTTACTCTCCATTTGGAGAATATAGTGGTGGGTGCGAGAGCTCATTGCAGCCAGCTAGTCTTCGAAACTTTAGGTAGTCCTTCTCCATACTACTAGATTATAATGTTAACTTAGCAAACTATAAAATGTGCTCGTGCTGTTGACCTTCTCAAATAGCAGACAGAGCTTCTTAGTCTTTTGTTTTTTTTTAAATTAACAATACTTCGTAACACCTTTTTTACATAAGCACTTTTGAAGTGCTTTTTTTTTAATTTCTTTGCATCAATTTTTAGGAACAAAATTGTCTTAGATTAACAAAATCATATATAACCGCAGGAATAATTTAAAGCCTGCAACGCACCGCGTTTAACTTGCCTAAATGTCATTTCTTTATTATCATTCGCACGTGTGACTTGGAAACGTCAAAATGGTTTGTGTATAAACTAAATATTTTGTAGTTGCCATTGACAGAACGTCAACACATGTCCAATGGCGTGGTGAATTTCTCAAAAATATCATAATGTGCATATAATTTTCAGGACATAAAATTGTAGCAAAAAATATTAATAGTAAGATATATAATATTATATTGCGATGCCTTCGTATTAATAGTTGCATTAATAATATTGAGACTTACTGCAACGTTGGATAAACAGTTGCCACTGAATAATGTCAACACATGTGCGATGAAATGGTGAATTTCACCAAAGTATAAATAAACTACATCTAATCAGAGTAGGAGATATAATATGTATATTGCGTTATCACTGTATTAATTTATTAATGTATTATATAAGTTGTGATCATATCATATTAATATATTTTAATTATAATTACCTATAATATATTAGGTACTATTTAGTCAGCATAATATGGAAAAATTGTGAAGAGTTTAAAGGTTCCATTAGTTATGCTCGCAAGCAATCAGCTGATTTTTTTTTTCGCAGTAGGTGGAAACCATCGGAAGTCACAGTATGTGATTAAAACCCACTAAAACCACCTTTTAGAAATAATTGGAGGAAATTTTCAAGCTTTATTCGAGTAATCAGAGGAGAGAGAGAAGAGCAAATGAGATTTTAAGTACTTTAATATTTTTTATCGTTATTCAATGTAATAAACAAATTTTAATTTAAAACTAACATGAGGTATATAAAAAATTATAATGTAAAAAAGCAATAAAATGAAATTATTATATATGTATATATTGAGATCTAAATTAATTGTTAATACAAAGTGAAAGTATTGTATATTTAATTATAATATCAAAACAAAAAAAGTTTATAATAAATAAATAAATGTGCAATAAAAAATATTGTAATATTGTATTTTATTTTAAAAATAATTAAACATAAATTATCTAAAATTATTGCATAAATATATATTTACGAAAACACAACATTCTGCCATATATTTAGCTTATACGTTCAATTATCTTGGCTGGCTGCAATGAACGCAGATTAATGTGTTAAATGGCAATTGTGGTGAATATGTATTTCAATGGTGTGATACAAATTTTCATCAAAAATTGTCAATTTAGGCCACTGGCAGCACATGAAATTGTAACTAATTACAAATATTATCTTTATTAATAATATTTTACAAAATCATAATTGAAATATAATAAACTTTTGCATGTAATATTTATCATAACTATTAGTCTATTTGAAATAAAATGTTTCTTTCAGAAATACGATCTAACAAATGTTCCAACAGTTTGTCAAAAATCATGGTGGATAACTTATATATATATTTAACTTAAGTTATAACTTTCATCTTTAAGAATTATATTAAATTTTTTCGTGCAACAAATTGATTGAAAATTTTGAGCACGTTCCTAATACATATTCACCATAGAGACATTTTTTATTTTGTTCGCATTGAAATTTTAAACTGCGTGGTGAAAAAGACAAAATGCATTGTGACAAAAAGTTTTTATTTAGCGGAATATTTACATTTACCTACAGTAAAATACCATATTTAAAGATATTTTGTATATTATGTGTATATGTAATATATATTCTATTATATATGTAGATATGCGTTAACACTACTTCACCGATTATGACGTGAATTTACATATATGGTTGTTTTACGTTTTTTATGGGTAAGAAACTGTCTGTATTTATTTTAAACACCATATCTCTACAATAATTACATCTATGCAAAATACTTAAATCTCCAAGGTTTCATTTGTCAAGTTTATTTACCAAGACCAAAATTTTGTAATTTAAATATTTAATATAAATTATTGTAAGAATATGTATGTATGTATGTATGTATATTTATTTTCATTTTAAATTTCATTTTTACAATATGATGTTTCTTAAATTAATATATAAATAAATATAAAAATAAATATAATTAAAATAGCGACTGTGACACGATGTCGTCCGTCGACTTATATTGTAATAGTAGTATTAAAAGTAGTTGTGAAATAGTGAGTATAACAATAAACTAGTATAAACACATTATAAATGATAGAAGAGCCACAAACTATATATTAATTATTATATTGTGATATTAAATAATACCGATATGTTATACAATTTTTTACATATTCTGCTACTCTTACCCATTCTACCTCCGAACCGTTTAAAACATTTATAATGCCTTCATAAGATAGAATAGCTTTACCAAAGAAAGCCAATCGGAACTCTTGTAGAATAGGACAACGACCAAGAAAATGCACAATATCTTCAGTCTCATCTAAATTACACATACTACAGAGCGCAGATCTACTCGTATATATATCAAATCTGTTTCCATTTAGCTGTATCATGCTACTTCTTGCTTTGAGTATCCAGGTGATATGTATGTATATATAATATATACCAGGCTTTCTCAGTTGTCGGTCAGTACATTACTATAATATATCATATTGAAAAACTTAATTATGTTCGTTATATTGGCTTAATAAAGAAATACAACTAAAATTTGTTTTAAGATACGTGTTATTAGAAACTTTGTGTGGTGAAAAACACAAAAAAAACCAATAATAAGATCGTAAAAGAAAGATTTATATATTAATATAAACATTTATATATTTCAAAAATGCCTGCACAGTAGCGGCGTAAAGGGCCAGTGCAATGGGACAAAGGCCCTAAGCGATAGAAATTATTCAAATCTAGGTTAAATAATATTTTTCCATTAAGACTTTTTACATCAAAACTATAGAGCTTAACACTTTTTTTTTCTGTACAATAACAGTAAGTTACTAAATTGCGAGATTAGATTATATTGAGCAGTTTCATACATTGCTCACTGTTTAATTGGCAGTGTTTAAAGATCCAGTTTTAGTATTACCAACATCTGAACGAGCTTACAATGATCCTCGTAATATACTATTAAGGCACATTTCAGGTAGTGGCGACCTGTATATTAGAAGCATCATTGTAATCCCATTCAGATGCTGGTAATACTAAAACCGGATCTTTAAACACTTCTGCATAAAATTATATTTTTGCACTTCTAAATAAAATTACTGAAATCTCTGTTGTTTTTTTTTTTAAGTTTTAGAATGTTGCCATTTATTAGCGCTATATATATATTTGAACGATTTGAATCAAAAATTTGCACTGGCATCAATATTTTGGTGTTTACACTAACGATTTTATTCATACGTTTGTGATATCAACTATTTTTTTAAACTAAACAATTATTTGGTTATATTATTAAAAAGAGGTTTTTTTTCGAACACTAGTGAACTACAACAACCAAAATTCATTTTATATTATTTTAGTTAATTGAATTTTTGGCTGACCATACAGTTATTTCGAGTATTGCCAAATACCCATTATCAGTGGTCTTTGAATTATCTCTTATATTTAGTTACTTACAAATAATTTTTTTTTGAGATTACAAGTATCAAGGATTAAACTGGTGTCCTGCCAAATTTGAAGCTCAGACTCAGCGCATCTTAACCAACTGACCCAAAGCCGTATTTGACTTCTAGGTTCGCACATTTTTCTGAAGTTTTGTTAATTGGCTGTGAAAGTTTTAAACAAATTCACTTGCTGTGTTTATATTAGAACGAAATTATAAACCAGCTGAGAATAATTGAATTAATTAATCATATTATTGTAAAAATATGATTATTACAGATGTGGGTGAAAGTTTTGCTTACATCGAAAAATGAAAATGTTAAGTTTTTACTGGTCACATAAATTCTAACGAGATTTTAAATCCATTTCATGAATTATGAAAGAGCTCATTATGAAAATGAAAGGACGATATACCATTAAGAATTTTATTTATAATTATGTTCGTTGTAAATGTTATATGCATGTTATATTCTATTTATAATGATTTGAGAACCAGTGTATAAAATGCTATATACACGGGTCCCAAATTCAGGTTTGCAGCGAAATTTGCATTATTTATGAAAAAACTAATTTAGAAGAAAGAATATAATTCGTATTTACTGCATGCCAAATTAAACCAGTTAAAAAAATTTGTTTTTGGATAACTTTAATTATTTTATAAAACTATTGAAAAATAATCTAATTTTGAATATTTCAATGAATATAATTTGGGGTTGGGTATAATTGACACCCAACCATAATAAAGTAAATTAGCAGAAATCATAAATATACATATATTATAGTTTATATATCAGACTAGCACTTCTGCTATGATTTATGATTGTTACCAGCTTTAAGCGGGACAGACGGACAGTGTAACTAACATTTTGTCAATCAATGCCTTTCAACAAGTTCAATGATATGAAGAAAAAAGATATTTTTCTTAATAAATCAAATAATGATAAATTTAACAAACAAAATATTTATATTATTGTTTTAATAATTTATTGAATAATATCATAACTTTTTTCAATGCATTTTTTTAGAATATATAGCTGATGTCAACATGCTTAATCGAAACAAGTAAATATTTCATTAATATTAAATTAAATGTTTATAATTTTTGATACTGTAATTGTATTCAAGGGAAAGAAAATAGTAAAGAAGTTAAGAATAATTTGGAGTTCTTGAAAGACAATGATTATCTGTTTAACCTTTTTGACCTTCAATCATGACCAACCCAACAGTAAAACATTACTAGTAAAATATAATAAAAAGTAGTAAAAGGAAAAGTGTTCATTTAAAACAGATAAATATAAACAAATATCATATTTATAATATAAATACTTTCAATAAATAATATAATTATCATATTTGCAATATTATTATTTTCATTTCACAGAATCAAGATATATTATTAGAGCGGAATATAAATGCCACACATGTTTGAAAGCTTATTAGTGCAAAAACAAGTGACACCACCCACCTTAATATGAGAAGATTAAAAATTGTGTGGACATTGTCGCATTTCAAGAAAAAAAAAATTGAATAATAGATAAAATCTTCATGCATATATTATAATGTACTTTTTAGAGAATCGTTTATATAAAAATTTATTTGGAAATTAATTACGTTACGCTTTTATTTATGTTTATGAACCGCCCATAAGTTTTTTAAAAATTTCTTTCATATATCACAATTTTTTCAGTGCTGTAAAACGTAAATAAACTTTAACAGATTGTAGTCAGTTTACATTGTGAGATTAAAAGAACGAGATTACGTTAATCTGCATTTTTAAACTACATTACACATTGGAGATTAATTTTGAAGTTTCTCTTGTTGTGTTTTGTTTCATGTTTGATAAATTTCTGCAAATAAAGGATTTTATTACAATTTTGTACAAACTTTTCTAAACTTTCAAGTTTGTTTTGAATAAATTTTAACATATCTCACCTAATTTATATAAGATCGTAAAAAAATCTACGATACATTTGCAGAGTTGCACAGAAAAATAATCACCATCTCTAAGGAAATTAAAAATTAATCTCAACCAAAAGGAGATTAACTTTTTTATTGGGAAGTAAAGTACAAGATTAGTACTTTAATTTCGATCATTGCTTTGAGCTACTTTTAATCTCATAATGTAAACGCCGTATTACAGTATGTTCCCTTTGCGTTCATTAAAGCAGTTTCATTGATTTAAGTCGCTAATGAAGTTGATTAACTATACAAAAAGCGTTCGTGCTTCCAATTTTGATAAGAAAAACAAGGCAATTCTGGTAAAGATCGTTAAAAGTTTTGCATAAGATATTTTAAAGATCAACCGTAAAACCGATTGTAAGATTTTAGCTATTCTGGCACAAAAGTCTTTCAAAAAAAGTTTTATTATTTATAATTCGTGTTAAAAAGCTGTTTTGTTTTATTTCTTTCATAGTGAAATCAATAGCAGCTGCTAATCGCTACGAATTTGATGCAAAACTGCCACGATATATGTTCATTTATTATTAGGTGTTTAGGTGGCTCGGAAATATGGCAAAAAACGGCATGCTGACCTATAGGCGCTAAGCAAGACATTGCCATGGCTATTGCAATTTGTCAAATATTATGTTTTGGCAAATAGCAAATCTTGCATATTACATTTTGCATAAATAAATAATTATTATAAAAATGAAAATCAAAATAAATTACACAACTACTTGCTTAGATAGAGAAAGCAGTGTTGTTTTGCATACATTTAAGCTACTATAGGCCAGCTAGCAACATTAACAACAGCAGTGTCAAAAAACAATTAATTAATTTTGAAATTATAGCTTAAATATATATAAATAAAAAAATAAATAGATGAATAAATTAATGTAAAATAAATATAAGAATTTAAAGATATAAAAAATATATACGTATATTATACCTTTGCAGCGTATTAAAAGTGAAGTAACAAATATTTGTTCTTATTCTACAAAATTCAATAAATTAATTAATTAATAATTTTTATTTTTATGTATTTTATTTTAAATAAAAAAACTTTTTAAACGAAAAACACAAACAAAATCTTAGCTGATAATCGAAAGACCTGATCAACCTTGGAAACACCATAAAAAACTTTTAGCCTTGCGTAAGACTAAATCTATAAATCAAATAAACAAAAGTTCATCTTTTTTTCTTTCTTTTCTTTTTAAACAAAAGAATTTTTTTTAAATGTTTGTTTTTTATTAATTAATTTAATTCAATTAAAAATTAAATTTAATTAATTAATTACTGCTAACAATATAAAACTAAATATTATCTGCTAACAATTGAAATGAAAGCAAACAAAAGCCCTCCTAAAACGACACATAAAATCTCTTTCACATGCATAAATCAACTTATGCCAATGGAAACGATCAAGTCTAAATTTGATTAATAAAAATTGATTCAGCTGCATTGGAAAAATATGGTGTTTAAATATCTGCAAGCACACAAATTTATTTAAAGCATATTTTTTTATTTTTTTCAATGTGTGGAAAGCAGTGAAAACCACAATATAAAGCTTGAACCCATTAAAACTAACTATTGTTAATAAAACAATTTTATAAATTTTCAAATTTTGGTGACAATATTGAAATAAATTAATACAAAAATGCGAATTATTTAAACAATTGACAAAATTTGCCCGTTTAAAAATATATATTAAATAAAAATAATAAACTGATTTCTAATTTATTTTATAAAAAAAAAATATGAAAGAAAAAAAGCAACACTTGACAATTATATAACTTATTTAAAACTGAAATTTTTTTGTTTGGTTTATATTGATTTATTTTTATATCATATATTGGAGCGAGAAGTGTTTGCATTTTGCAACACTAATTTTTGTATATGGCAACAGTTTTTCTAAGAGAAGTGACAGTTTCTGTTCTTTCGAAGGTCAATTTAAGGTTAATCAATCGTACACCAGCAAGGCAAGAGGTACGATAATTTGTTTTCTTCAACTGAAATTTAGGGATTTATTAATTATTGTTTTGTAGGCTGTTGTTTATTACTCAACCCAATCGAAGTGCAATACAGCAAATATCAAGATGGTGCGTAAATTCTGTGTTGGTGGTAACTGGAAAATGAATGGCGATCGTGCAGTTATTGCTGAAATCTGCAAGACCTTAAGCAAAGAGCAATTGGATCCCAACACTGAGGTTTATATTGGCTGCCCAGCACCATATTTAATGTATGCACGTGATTTATTCCCAGAAAAAATTGCTATTGCTGGACAAAATGCTTACAAAGTTCCCAAAGGTGCTTATACTGGTGAAATCTCACCGGCTATGCTAAAAGACGTTGGCGCTGAATGGGTCATTTTGGGACATTCAGAGCGTCGTCAAATCTTCAAAGAATGTGATGATTTGATTGGTGAAAAATGCGCTCACGCTTTAGCTGAGGGTCTTAAGGTAGCTGCTTGCATTGGAGAAACACTCGAAGAGCGTGAATCTGGTAAAACCAATGAAGTCGTTGCACGTCAAATGTGCTTCTTGGCCAGACACATCAAGGACTGGACAAATGTTGTTGTCGCCTATGAACCAGTCTGGGCTATTGGCACTGGTAAAACTGCCAGCCCAGCACAGGTAAGTTTTATTGCTTAAATGCAAAATGTAGATATACATAAAAAAAGCTCCGTTTTTATGTATCAATATTTTAGGCTCAAGAAGTTCACGCTTTTCTACGCCAATGGTTGGTTGAGAATGTATCCCAGGAAGTAGCTGATGAGTTACGTATCCAATACGGTGGTTCAGTTACTGCTGCAAATTGCAGAGAACTTGCACAACAGCCCGATATCGATGGTTTCTTGGTTGGTGGCGCTTCATTGAAGCCTGAATTCGTACACATCATCAACTCCAGATCATAAACACATTGCGATTGATTGACCTAACCGAGGGCAATAGAAAATACAAAAAAAAACCAAAAAACACATCATTGAACAAATATTAAAATTATAAATTAATAGTTAAATACTGCCGTTGGTTAAAAGAAGCTTAAATTTATAGTTGTTTCCTGGTAATATATATTGTTTAAAAAAATTTACAGTAATTCATTTAGTTTGTAAAAAACTAAAACAAATACGTAGCTGCATTAAATAATTAATTGTATGCACAGTTGTTTATAGATGTAATTTATTTATTAATTTTAAAATTGTTCAAACAAGAAGGAATCTATGAATTAATTGATTTAATTATGCATAAATCTAAAGTTATAGAAAATAAATGTTGACTTCTTTAAAAAAAACAATGTATTTCGTGTTAACTATTCTTTATGTCATAGATAAGAGAGAATTGTTAAAACATCTTATATAATTGTATATATAATATCAACGTTTATATACCTGCATATATAGTACATAAAGATTAACACTAAAATATTGCTCTAGTTGTTGCCTTGTTAATCAAAGGGCAAAGTTGTTTGGCTAAAAATAGACAATTTTTGTTTGTTGCTGATTTGAATTTTTTAAAAAGTGAAATGCTTGCTCTTTTTAAAATTTGAGGAAGGTCCAAAAATGGGTGTGCTGTATATTTGTTTAAAGTTAAGTTTTATATGAAATTTGTGTTTGGTATGATGCAATTGACTGCGTTTTTATGAAATAGATTAATAATTGTTTAAAGATTAATAATAATAATTTATGCGATAAAGTGACCATGTAGTTGTAACCCGCTGGGACCTGTAAGCAGATAACATGAAAGATAATATATAAGATGATTACATGGGTGGGGAAGTTTATGGGTAGTGGTTGGGGGTGGTGTAGGAGGGAATGAGTATAAGATGTAGATTGCGTAAATGAAATTTAATTGAACATTAACTCGGGTCCAGACGGTGAAACCCGGTCACTTCAATGGGGTGGATCCAAAGGTCAATTGGACGAAAGTTTGTGTGTGTTATAGGACAGGAGAACAGATGGGCGACGTCATGGGGAGTAAAGCTGCATTTTGTACACGCATAGACGTGTTTATGCTAAGAGTTCCACATCAGCTTTATGTTAAGCTGATGAGTTACACTTCTCCCAGTATAATAAAGAGTAGCGTTCCTGGTATTCGCATTCCTTTTTCTTGATTTCACCACTCTTAATGCATCCAATAAGCTGTTGCGTTGTAGATAATTTCCACTTCATCTTGTTTTGTGGTCACACACCGGCACTGCGCCTACATTATTGTCTTCATGCAGTAGTGCTTAGCTTGGTAGATAGACTGCGTTTCCAATCTTTCTCAAGTCTTTCCACCCACTTGCATACATTAATCTTAAAAAATTTAAATTATTAAAAAAATTTAAATTTTAAAAAATCTAGATATGTATTTTACCTCATCGCTGTTACCATTGAGGTGCTTTGCATATTTAATAGGACTTTTGAAAAAAGTATAAAAACATTTTTATTCAAAACATTTACATATTGTACAATTACTAACTTCTGACCCAAACAAGATTTGCGCTATAATTGACAGCGATCCATTGTTCAAGTCGTACGCTGTAACGTTCCACGCTTGAGTATTTTGATTGTAACCACTATTATAATAATAAAAAATTTTGAAATAGACTTATTATTTAATGTTGTTTTGTCATACATTTCTTTATAAGAAAATAATAAGTAAATAAAAATATTAATATATAGTAATAAATTAAGTTTTGTTAATCTACCTACAAACTCAGAAGTTTGTAGAGTTTTCCATATAAATAAGTTATAACTACAAGAGTTTATTAGCTGCTTTTTTTCTTAAATTTTTTTTTTTTTAAATAAAAATTAAAATCTTATTACATTTATAAATTTTTCATAAAACTAACTGCCCGGGCTTTATGAAAATGCAGCGCCAATTCGTTGGCAAAAAAGTGCTGCCAACTGCCAATTTTGACAGTTAGAAATTTTTCATCATTATTTGATGAAAAATTTCATATAACAACTTTATTAACAAAAGCAAGCAAAACTAATAATATTTGCAAAAATTAATTTTCAGTTAATTAATTAAAATTTGAGGCAACTTATGAATGTATTTATCATATTTTAATTGATAAAATATGTATATTATTTACATGATGTTTATAAAACAAGGTATGCATAAAAGGTCTATAATGTGGCGAACTCCTCTACTATAGTGTGTTAATTCGTGAGACATGTGTAGCTGCAGTAAGTGGTCAATGGCAAATTGGGCAATCACCCTGCCTGCACTATTTGTGCCACTGTCGCCCCAGTTTCTGTGAGGCGCATTCAAGTCACCGGCTAGAGCAGTCAGCGAATTGTTATTAAATTGCGCTTCAAGCTGTCCTTGGTAGGGTTGTATATTCGGTGGCCTTTAGACTGAGGTAAAGTTTATATTACCCACCAGACTATCCATCACCACTGTGGTTGCTTGACAGGAATGTTACGCTCTCTCAGATGCTCTCATTTACTCGAAAATTTGCTGGTGAACCGCAGTTGTGTATACACAGTGCTACTCAAAGTACTACGAGTAGTTCGTGGAACAGACCTATTATTTAAATACAAACAAATGATTAATAAGTAATAAAAAATCTTCGTACTACACCCCCAAAAGGTGCAGTATGAGTTAGAGTTATCATAGTAATAGCAAAATCACACTGTCTCATATAGGCGGTTTTACTCATTAACGCCGCTAATGAATTCTCATTACCATATAAATAGTTTTCATATAAATGAGCTCATTATCAATAAATCAGCTCATTTGAGGCGAAAAATATCGAATCCAACTTTAAAAAATAAGTTTTCCACAAGAGAAATTACCAAAATTGGAAATATATGTCTTATGTTTTATATGTAAAATGTGAACAAACAGTTCAGCTATATATAAACATACTGGAAAGTTTAAGTATTTAATATAATCTTTGTTTTTATTAATCGAATATGTAATTGATATATAAAATGTGTATAAATCATTAAATATATCAATTATGTATATAATTTTTATGTTGTGTGATATATTCGGTGCTTTCAGCAGCTTTTAAGTATGACAAAAAACAAGTAATTTATTATAGGCGTTAAGCGAGTTTTTGGCATCACAGTTGGAATCTGTCAAATTACAAATTACATTTTGTATAAAAATAAATAATACAGCTTAAATTTAAAATTTAAATAAATAATAATTTTAAAGCAATAAGTAAAAATAATAAGTAAAAAGTTTTAAACCACTTTTCAATTACACTTTGTTCATAAAATTCTAAAAACTATTGTATATACATATTTAAAATATTTATTTTCCAAAATTTTGCATATTTTTAATTTTATTTGAATTTTTGTTTACAATCTGCCATATTCATTGAAATTTCTAATGATCGTTCACGTTGGTAATATTTTTTTCTATACTTGCTAACACATCTGGGTGCTTAGACAGAGAAAGTAGTCATTTCTTTTGCGCAACTATAGGACAGAAATTTGTTGCTATTTACCACACTTAAAAGCTGCCAAAAGCACCTATTATAACGTGAAGTTTATTTATTTCATATAAAAGTTCTATAAGCTGCGTAAATGAGTTCATTATAATGTGAACGTTCCTAAATGAGACAGTGCGAATGTATTAAGATCAATATGAAATGTGCAGTAAATGTAAAAAAAAATACATTTTTTACGTTGTATTGAAAGGTATTATCTGCTTACTTGTATAGTTGAGGAATATAAAATTTCGTACACTTTGTTTTTCTTTGTATGACACAACATTTGCTGGCATCACTATTTCGAAAATACGAACTGGCAGCATTAATATGTTTTACAGCTCAGCGCCGAACAGCTGTTCATTTGCCGAATTGATTTTGTGCAACGTAAAATAGTAGGAAAATAAGTACACGTTTTTTCACATATATATCATTATTATTGAAAGAAGCCGCATACGTGAAGTTCACAAATCTGATAGTTAATAATACTACTGCATGTTGCTTTCGTATGTGAAATATAATAACTATAAATTAATATAAGAAATCTAGATCACTTTACTCCCTTTTTTTTCGAAAGTGAAAAACAGTTACAAAAGTTAAAAGAAAAAAGGTAACGAATAATTTTTATGGAAAAATGGACACACGGCTTCGACTTTTAATAAATAGAATCAAAGTGTACATATGTTTGTGTATATTAGTGTTGGCCCTGTTGCTGCCCACAAACGTAAGGGCGCAACAACTGAAGGTGGTGTATGCGGTGAACGCTGGCGGTTATGAGCACACAGATAAGAATGGTATACATTATGAGGCGGATCCCTTACATGATAAAGTAGGCACTGGTTCAGATTATGGCAATCATTTGTTAATTATTGGACGTGTGCCAGAGCAAGATGAGGTACTTTATCGCACAGAACGTTATCACACAGCTACATTTGGCTATGAAATGCCTTTAGATGGTGATGGCGATTACGCGCTGATAATGAAATTTTGTGAAGTTTATTTTAATGAACCAAATATGAAGGTTAGTGTGTGTTAAAATATATTTGTATAATTATCTCTGAAGCTGATTTATTTTTGATTTTGCAAGATATTCGATGTTGTGCTAAATAAGCGGCATACTGTTGTTAACGAACTGGATATATTTCATCAAGTTGGTCGTGGAACTGCACATGAGGAGTATGCTTATTTCACAATTAAAGGCAGTCATCTTTACTATAAGGACGAAGTGTCCGATGTACGCAACAATATTGTGCGTTTAGATTTTATCAAGAGTAACTATGATAATCCCAAAATCAATGCTTTCGTCTTGCTGAAAGGAGATGTAGATCATATACCACGATTGACACCAGTTATTGAAGAGGCACAACCAATTGATGGTGAGATGGCTGCATTTAATGATCGTATATCAGCTGATAGTGGCAGATTATCGGAAGCTGGTGCAGAGCGGAAAAATCAAGAAACTGCACCACCGGTACCGACTGAAGGAGATCTGGATGATGATGAAGAAATGTTAAACGAACTTTGGAAAGTGCGAAAAACTAGCGGTCCACGGCACCCAGATCCATATAGTATGGATGATACATCCCTGATGCTGCCTATTTTTATAGCTATTGGTGCCTTTATACCACTAGTCTTCTGCCTGTGCAAATTGTGATTCAAATAATTTAAACTATACATCTGAGGGTACTTGTTAGCGATTATGGGGGCGTTCAAGTTCAAAAAATCTAAGTCTATTTATCATATTTGCCTGAAATTTTCTTAAGTGTTAAAAGCGCCTATGGATTAGGTCTTTATTAAATTTGTCTAAATACATTTAAAAGTGTTTAGAGCAAATTGAAGTTGTGATTTTCTTTTTTTTTAATTTATACTTCATACATTGTTTTAATGTTTTTGGCTGATTGATAGTTTTATTTTGTAAAAAAAAAAATTATGAATTTTATTTCAATTTGCTTTTGTGGTTCTATTACTGCCTTTAATGTATTAAATTATTTCATGATGCAATATTATATATTTAATTTTATTAATATTTATTAAATTATACATTTATTTATTTGGATGATTAGTTAGGTTTATTTTAAAAATTTAGTTAGCTGAACTTTATTAAAATTTATTATTGTGCTAAAAAACTCATATGAAATTGATAATTAACATAATTTAATTTATTTTATTTTTATGCTATGAAATTTGTATCAAATTGTATGGCTTTTAATTTCCTATACAAATTTAAATTAAATTTGAAATTACACATTAATTATTTTAATGCACTTGTTCAACTTAAATTGTTTTAAAAAAAAACAAAAATTGTTCCTTGCCAAAATTAATGAAACATGTACTTAAATTAAAACAAAGACTTTGTATTTATAAAATATATCTTGGTTGTATGAGTTTATATATATATTTTTATTTAATTTAATATTTATAAAGTTATATATATATATATATTTTTTTTTTGTTTACTTTCATGTTTATAAAGTTATATATATATTTTTTTTATTTACTTTCATATTTATAAAGTTATATATATTTTTTTGGTTTAACTTTATATATATAAGAGTTCTTATATTGTGTTTAATTATTTATATAATTTTTTTATTTATTGGCGCACTTTGTTTTCGCTGCACTATTTTATCCTTTTTACAATACTTTATTGAAAACTAGTTTGGGGGAAAAGAATGTAATTTTGTTATATACTCATATATATTGTATTAGTTGTAGCAGAATATAACGTTGAAATTCTTCAATTTATATATACATACAGTATATATACATATATATTAATTCCAAGCACAAGACAAAAAATAAAGGAAAAAATTACTTGGTTAGTTGATAAAAGTTACGCATAATTTATTATAGACATGCAACAATTCAAAAGAGTTAACTCTAAATATATACATGTATTATTTAAAACAAATTTATTTATAATAACAAATGAAACAGAAAATAGTGAACAAATCTAAAAGAAATCTTATGTTAAAAATATTAAATTTTAGAAAAACAATAAAATGCATGAAAATAAATTATGAATTGAAACTGTTTAACATTTATTTAAAAATCATTAATTTAATATTATAATGGTTTGATATACATATTTGAATATTTATACAATAAAACTTGTTATATAGTATAGTGATAGCTCTTTTAAGCCGGCAACATATCCCGTGTAGTTAATAGATGGGATAAGATAGGTGGATATAAGTGCTTGTTTAAATAAAAAGTGAATAGTAGGCACTAGCAATGCAACATGATCAAGAAGGATACTCGTTAACGAAAGCATTCATTTTACAGATCTCTAATATGTTAGTATCATTAAATAAGGTTTATGATACATTTTTTACCAAAATTCGTAATTATACTTATGGTACTTGTATGGCAAGTGTAAAGAACCAATGTAGGAAGTTGACATTTAATTTAAATTACTTCTTCCTTTATGCCTTTTACTTATTGAATTTGTGTTGTTATCTAGATAACTATTTTCTATTTCAGATAAATGTGACGCGATATTCAGGTCCAGAGTGTATATATATCAAATGAGAAAAACAAATAATTTTATTATGTTTATACTAGACAAGAATATATTTTTGAATATAATTAAAAAATTTGACTAAAAACATTATGAAGAAGAAGTTCTTAATATAGTATATCCAGATATACAAATATCAAAGCAATTATTAACAGTATATATCAATAAGAAATCTTTGTTTCAGTTCCCAAAAGATGTAGCGAACTCTTAAAATAATAAACAGTATTTATATTAAACTAAATCAACCAATAACATAGACCCATCAGTACTTATATAACAAAATCACAATGAATTAAATATATAGTGCTCTTACGTTGCACTTTATTGCTTTGGCAAAATGTTTGGGGTGACTCATCTATTCATTAACCTTTGTTACTTTGAATATTTGTTAGTTTCGTATTCGCAAAGCTATTGTTGATACGAGTATTTAATTTTATTCTAATTCTATGGCGTGATTAGCCTGGTTAATAGACTTGCCACAATTAAGACTAAGCTCTTATTTGAAGCTCTTTCAAAAACAAAGAATTAACAAACGAAATTGCTTTATCTTTGTCAAGTTTTAATGAACGTTACTGAACATATATAGATTTACTCTCGATCCTTCATTTTTTGCTCGAGTTATGTGGCACAATCGAACATATTTAAGGTTATTCCAACATTATTCGACACCTATACATATGCTGATAAGTCAGTGCCGCTTATTTTACTAAATTATTCACTTTTACCTTATTTTGTTATATATCTTAATTTAATTTTAAATTTTAATTTAAGTAAAAAATACAATATCTAAAATATTTAAAATGCCAAATACATTTGAATTGTCAAACGACATAAAACAGCTGATGATTTCAGAGTGATAATATTACTCTGATATAATATCTAAGTGTTATAAATTAATCTCGAGTGCTATATATATTGCCTGAGATTAACCAATAAATTATGTACTGAAAGTAAGCCTAAAATGATAAAGTTACAATAGATTTTTTTATATTTACCTATTTTGTGGTTTCAAAAGTAAATTCTTGAATTCATTTTTGTGCTCAAACCTACAGGCTCTCAATTTCCGGCTGGAGATTTGTCACTGTCATGCCTTTATAACCAAATATTGGTTACAAAGCCATGCCTACAGTATATCGCTAGATAGCAATACACCGGACATAGTGATGCCTAATCACCGGTGTATGCACAATATGTCTAACAAAACAATCGATTAAAATCGAATTTAAAGCTATACTTAACCCTATTCTATCTTCTATATTGATGGCATAATTAAAGTTAGTGATTCGATTATAATAGAATAGTTAATACATAATTATCAATCAAAAATATTAAATTAATAAGTAAATGAATAAATTGATTAGAAATCCTAGATAAATACGTAAATAGATAAATAACTAAAAATAGAGAATACGTAATCAATAAATAAGTAATAGTGGTATAGGGGAAGCAATTAGTTATGGAAATAACTAAAATATCAATAGATATTTGAAGGAAGGATTCTGTAGATTAGTGTTCTATCCTCTATTAGTTATCACTTACGCGTTTCGTTGGGGACTACCCAAATTCATCAGAGTGTTTTTATATAAAAATTACGTATTCTAATTAGTATAATCAATCTAAATGAAAAATCCAAACAAAATCAAAATAAAATTCTAAATAATAGTTATAGAAATGTAGATAAAATAGGGTAAAAATAAATTAAATTAAAATTAAGATAAAAGATGAGTTAAATAAACAAAGAAGAAAGACCGGAAAAGAAACTACATAGATCCCATATTATATACGAGACAAAGAAGGTGGCACTTAAACTGTCAGTGGTGTCGATATAGCGAATCCACACTTATATTCTATGATACTTTGCAATTGTCAATGGCTTACTATAATCATAAATATTGTTGTTCCAACCTATAAACATATATAACACATAAATGTCGCAGCTCGTGTATGAATCCCCAGCAAAAGTGGTAAAATAGCACGCACTCACTTAATTCTGAATAAGAAAACTCAGGCAGTAAGTCAAAACAGTCTCAAAAAAAGTCAAGTTAATCTATAGAATTTTTATTAAAGTATAAAGATAAATTAGAACCATTTAGAAAGTCTTAATCCCAATATTATATAGGATGTGAAGGTGAAATATAATCCCCAATAGCGCTGAATGGCTGCAAGGTTTTAACAATCACAATCATCGACGCATCTTACTAGTATCCTGAAAAAACTCAATACCATACAGTGAATAATAATTAAGACCTATTCAACTATATAGAAATTGGTCACACCTATGCAGACTTACTAAATATATCACTAAACATTCTAAATTATGATTTTCAAATCAGTAAAAAGTCCCAGCATTCATGCCACACATAAACTAGTCAAATTGAAATATTATTACGAGAAGTTGAAATAAAATTAAACGATCGACATGGCTATATTGAAAGATGCCCTATCTGCGAGGAGAGCGATGTGCTTTACTAGTTTTTCGAAGCGCACTAATGACTCCATTGAGGTGCTCGGCTGACTGCTGAATGTTTTCCTTATAGGAATTCAAATGATTAAATATACCTCGCACCCTTCGGTATAACTATTTCTTCTTTTTGGAATGGACGTCTCTTTTTGTTTACAGAACTTTCTGAAAAAGGAAAACTATGGACTTGCAACATGACTCAGTTAAAAAGGATATCGACGCATGAGAACATTTACTGCTTTTTATGTCTTATATTATATGATTATTTAGTTTTATATTAAACTTCTAAACTTCTATCTTCTTAAAATTTAATTTAAATGAAATCACTTACACATATGTATATATATTAACTTTATTTAAAATAATTAAATTTATTAAATAAATTAAAATCTTAAAATTAAGTTTAAATCCAGTTATAGATAAAAATAAATATACATTTTTATATTCATAAAAAATGGTGAATACGCATGTATACATATGTATTCAAAAAGTATTTGGAAATGTGTTACATTCTCTTCTACATAAATTATTTTATACATAAATACAATCACATTCCATATTATATATTTCCATACATAAAATTTGTACTGTTCAATGTTAAATTGAAAATATGTGTTTCTTATATTTCTTATATATAGAATTCTAATCAGTAATTAGTAAATTAATATTCGAGAGCACAACTTATGTATTTTGGTTTAAAAATATTTTAAAAATAATATTTATAATATTAAACAAGCACAGCGCAAAATGTTTTCCTATAGTTTAAATGGCTTTCATATAATTATCAATGTCAATGTCAATATACATATATATAAATATTAGTTGTATATTTCCACACTTATATATAAAAAATAGTAGTATTTATTTTTAAATTCATATATATTAAAATAATATAAATTATTTTTCTGTTTTTTTTTCAATAAATTATCATATTTCGAAACTGCATTCTTGTACATTTTATATATATCATTATATTCAATGTAGTTGACACGCAAATAAGTGTTAAAGAATTACAATATTATTGAAGCATCAATATTTGCGATTCTATATAAAATATTATTCAGACCAATTTTATTTCTTTATAATTGGATTTGTTTTTATTAATTTTCTATATTCAATTTATATTTTATAAAATTTAATTTAAATTCGATAACTTATTTTTAGTACACAAATTTTAGTCTTTTAAGACTGTTTTTTTTCATATTTTCTAAATTTTAATGAAATGTTCAAATTTAATTTTACTTTTAACTTATATATATATGTTATATATTTATTTTTATTTTTATTTTCTGCATTTGAAGTGCATGAAAACTTGTATGTATTAAAGTTGTCAATACTATTTAGGTTTCTTATATATTTTTTAGCACATTTATTTTCTTATTATGACTATAAAATTAAAATATATATATTAAGAAACTACAAAAATGTAAAATTAAAAAAAAAAATTATAAAATAAAAAAAATTATGAAACTAAAAAAAATAATAAAATTTTGTGAAATCTTAGAAAAATATACAAAATATAAAAAATTAAAGAAACAAATATAGTATTATTAAGACATATAAAATAAAAACAAAAAAAATTTTAAATAAAAAATCTATATAGTGTATATATAAAATAAACACAATGTATACAAAATATATACAAAATATTTATATCATATATATTTAATATCTTAAATGTTTCTATATACATATATGTAAATACATAGCATTTACAATTTTTTTTATGCAGTATACATATATTTTTACAATATTGTGTTTTGAAAATTTGATTTGTGAAATTCCATCACTTTTTTTTACTATTTGTGTAATTCTATTATTTTTTGTATTTAATATCATTCATAATATACAGAATTTATTAAAAATACTTTATATTTAATTTCGTTAACTAATAATTTAGCACTTTGTGTATGCAAAACATAAATTACATTGAAGATGTATTCAACTTACATGTACCCAATATTTCAAAGTTTTTTATTTATTTCTAGAGTTATAATAAATAATACTCCGCAATAAGAAAGAAGTCAAACTGAAAATAATTATATAACATAAAAAATAAAATTAGAAGTAAAATGAATAATAAAAATAAAAAATATAAATAAAAATATATAAAAAAAAAATAAAAATTAAAAGCAAAAACAGGAAACAAAAAATAAAAAACTAAACAGAATTAAAAATACAAAATAAATTTGTATATAATATATAATAACAACAAAATAGAACAAACAGAATTTAACATTTTATAATTCCTTTGCTTATATGTAAAACGTAACATATAAAATATTTCTTATATTTTTCATTTAAAAGTTGATATGAAATAATATTATTTTTTTTATCTACTTATTTTACGATTGCAATTGCAAATTTTAATGATATTAATAACAAGAGTTTTTATAATTGTAAAATAAACGGTAATTCCGTTTCTCAAAAAATTTAAAATATATAAAATGAATGAAGCTTAGTAACTTAGATTATCATGTACTCAGTCTTGACACTTAAAATATTATTATATAAAATTAAACTTTTTGTAAAAAAACATATTTAACAATATATGTATATTATAACATCATTTATTCCAATAATAGTCATTCTATTGAACGTGTTAAATACGTACGAATGACAATTACAGGCTAGGAGCGATTAAGTATGGAAATCCCAAAGCAACGGCGTCCGCAAATGACATTGTCAGTTAAATACTCGCGTGATGCGTTGGATACCAAAAAGCTTATAGCACGCAAATATGCTAATCCACTGCATTCATAGATTTTAGCGTTCCAGATCAATTTGCCGCAATAACATATAGGAAGCTCCTTGATTAAATCAACTATCACAGTCGGTAACTTACCGGGTTCATCATACTGTATCTGATTTCGCAAAATAACACGTCCGGCCAAAACCCAAAGTGGCGGAACTTCGGTTGGGTATTCTATAGTGATTTGCTGACGATCTGAAAAGTAATTCCCAGCAATATCTAAAGATTGCAAGCACATTTGCTCAACGCACGATGGAAGGGCTTTCAAGCGATTTGCGTTCAATTGTAAAGAACGCAAGTTTTGCAAGCGACGTATTGAAAATGGTACTCTTTCCATCAAATTGTCATTTAAGCGAAGAGAAACTAAACGCTCCAATTTAACCAAATAATATGGAAAGTTCTTTATTACATTCATTGACAAATCTAAATTGATCAATGATTTACGAATCGACCCAAGTAACCAATTCCAATTGCAATTTTCACCAATTTCATTATTACTCAAGTTCAAAGCTCGAAGTTGCAATTCACCAAGCGCATTTGGTAGCTAAAAAAACAAAAAACAAAAAACATTTATATATTAAAAACATATTCAGTCCTTAACAAACTAATAAATTGTGCAGATTAACTCCAATTAAAATCCCATCCAACCCCAATACATTTGTGTTCCTATACAATCCACCCTTCACAATTCATCTTCCTTATCATATCCTAACCCATGTATAAGTATGAGTAATTCCTTTCATGTTAAATATTCTATAGAACTCCGAGAATTACAGCAGCAACAGGAGAATAGGGTCCAGTATACTTATTCAAAAATACAATAAATACTTGTTCATATCTATTGTAGTTGACAAAGAATAGAATAAATAATATTAATAATACGAAGACATTCGATGTCTTCGTGCAATGAAACAATGTTTTTTTTCAGAAAAACTATTTAACTATTTATTTGTTTTTTTTAGTTTTTGGACCACAGTTGTAATGCAAATAAACTTCACTAATGAATATGATCAAAACCAAAAGATTTTCGGTTTATTTATTTCGATAATTTTAATTGGATTTTTTTCTGTTTTAATTAGTCTTTTTTTGGCATAGAGCATCGAAAAAAATCTGCTGACCTTTTAAATTATCCCTCAAGTTATATGATTATATTATACATTTTAAAGAGGTATTTCTAATATATACGATACATTTAATGAAAACGAACCATTAAAATTCTACATAGACATTTTAAGATTTATAAAAATATTGTTTATGTCTCTTTGGTGAATTATTCATAGAAAAAACATAACTTTTATGGATAAATGATAATAAAAAAGTATAAACACTTTTTACAATGGAAAACATACACTGGCTATGTCAGAATAACAGAATTTATTTTATCTTATTATTTTTAAGATTCAGCAGTCTTTATTCAGCACTTTTTATTCAGCTAATACTAGCAACATGTTTACCATACCATATTAAAGCAAACAAAGAGAAGACCACAGAAAGATTAGTACAAATGGATCAAGAAACGAATATAAGCAAAAATATGTTTTAATTGTATAATGACTAATCAATCGCATTTCCGAACCAAACACCATATGAAAAAACAGACCATTGACCATTCTAAGAACATACTTTTATAGATATATATTACAATATTATCTAATTATGTGCAAACAACAATAACAAGAACAACTAATTCAAGGAGTTATTCACAGATAAAGTAACCATAGTGCACAACAATAAAGTGTTACCTTAATATATCGGATGTCAATAAGCTGAGCTATTTATCACTCTATAAATTTATTAATAATATATTTAGAATATAAGTTATGAAAAAAATGGTTGAGTTAATGTCTCGGTACTAATCGACTCAGATGTTTAAAGATTGATTACTCGGTATTTCTATTAAAGTTGATTGTATTGCTTGAGTAAACTAATTGAATCGAAATCTTTATAATTGTCTAATAAAAAATTTCAAAAGCTAACATTCGCACATAAAATAAACATTGAATAAAGCTGTAAAAAGGATTTTAGAATTTGTTTAGTCACCACATTGAAATATTTATAAGGAATTCCAGCCTATATAAAACTATTGATACTTAAAACATAATCTTAAAGCTTATTGTTTTTTTAATTAAATTATTTCGCTTATTTGGCTTACTACCTTACAGAAAGTACCGCGCCTTCCCCGTGCAACAAGAACTGCTTAATTGACAGCACAATATAGCTATGTGTTAATCAGTTACTTGTCACGCATAAATGAGTCAAGTCCCAATGTGTGCCTCAAATTTAGCTCTACCAACCATTATGTTGCTGATCTGTAGCTTCCTGACCTTGTAATAGATCCTTGCGGCCTATAACAACAACAACACAACAATTTGTTCATTATACTGAATCGCACAATTAACCGAAAAATTCTATCTGGAAATTATTCTATCGCTGCTGTGAAGATTAGATAAACAAATTTTGGAATTAAACCAATAATTTAGAGTATCCAATCGCTATGTTGAACGCCTTCAGAAATTCATGCTCTCCGCCTTATTACAGTATGTATACATTCTATGTACTTTTGGACAAAAAGCAATCTAATAAGAAATTTTTCGCATCAAATGAATAGATTTCTTAATTTGAATTTTATTTTATTTGATACTTACTGTGTTTATAGAATTTTGCCTCAAATCCAAAGATGACAAATTGGTTAGTACGCAAATAGTTATAGGAACTGTCTTCAAACCATTGTTAATTATCTCCAAAAACCGGAGAGTTTCTGGGAAACCCTCTTTGGGATATTCAGAGGGTTTACTGATGACCATTCGTTCAATCGGTTGCATCTTTGCGGGTATAGGTGTCGCATGTACAGTTTCCTGCAAATTAATATCACCACCTTCTAGGCCAATACGAAGTGTTTGCAAAAAACTTTTCAGCGTTAGTACATCCGACTGGATTAATATATCATAAGCAGGTACTTGCAAGCTTATTGTTGCCTTACCTTCGTTAACGAAGCGCGTACGTATCGTTTCAATGTTACCAGCAAGCTTGTATTTCATGCCAGCTTTGTTAGATGGTGTGAAATGTACTAGCTCCAGTTCTTTATCACCGCCTTCGCTGTGCTTATAACCCAGAACAAGTGTTGCTTTACTTGCTCGTGCCGATTGAACCGTCTGTGTAGGACGTTCAACGACTCGAGTTTCGCAAAGCAGCTTCATATCACACCTTCGTTGAAACACTGAAATTAAAATAAATAGTTTAACAATAATTCAATTTCTACTAAGCTTTTTATAAATTCACAAATTTAATTTTTTCTTTTTACTTCTACTGCTTTAATGCACTTATGATGTTAATGTAAGGAAGGCTTCCTTTCACAACGCCGGTAAATCATGGTAAATTTAAGAAAAGAGACAAAAAAAAATTAATGAAAACAATAACAACATTTTTATCAGCTGTTTACTTTGGTAATGCAATTTTTAGTATATTTCTTTTTAAATAAATTTGCAGGTTTTTGCTCTAACTTTGCAGATAGTAACAGTTTATTGCACAAATACAGCAATAAACAACATATAATAAACTTTATATAAATCCTTTTTATATATATTTATATATTAACTAAAGCACAACCACAAACCTTCGCAAATAGTAACACTACCAGAAGACAAGTTGCATCGGAATTTTGTGCTCTAAAGAAAAACAGCGAATAAGGCGAATTCACAATAGATTTCTAAGTGACACAAGCAGTAATTCACAAAAAATTTGATTTTATATATATATTGTTTTGTGAACTATATATTCAATATATATATTGAACTATATATGGTTATGCCGGCAAAATATATATGGTTAATAAATAAATAATTATTTGATTAATTATTAATTACTAATATTTGATCTGGAATAAATCAATAATGTTCAGACAAGCTGAAGTAATTTTGTTTTTTTTTTAATACTTAATAAATAAATAATTAACGCTTTTGTAATTTTCGATTGGTATATCTAGTGTTCGTGCAAATGGGATATCGATTGCAAATCTAGATTTGCCAACCCAAAATTATTATTGGTTAGTATATAATTTAGGCTATCTAAAGCCATTGACAATTCAGTAGTGTCAGGAATAATCTTATTGTTTAAAGTATATTTTTGTGTATGTACATTTAACAATTTTTTCATAGAATGCAATTAATTTAATTTTGAAAATATCAATTTTTTTTAAATTGAATATATAGTTCAGAAAACAATATATATTTTTAAATTCAAATTTTTTGTGAATTCCTAATTGTGTCACTTAGAAATCTATTGTGAATTCGCCTTATTCGCTGTTTTTCTTTAGAGCACAAAATTCCGATGCAACTTGTCTTCTGGTAGTGTTACTATTTGCGAAGGTTTGTGGTTGTGCTTTAGTTAATATATAAATATATATAAAAAGGATTTATATAAAGTTTATTATATGTTGTTTATTGCTGTATTTGTGCAATAAACTGTTACTATCTGCAAAGTTAGAGCAAAAACCTGCAAATTTATTTAAAAAGAAATATACTAAAAATTGCATTACCAAAGTAAACAGCTGATAAAAATGTTGTTATTGTTTTCATTAATTTTTTTTTGTCTCTTTTCTTAAATTTACCATGATTTACCGGCGTTGTGAAAGGAAGCCTTCCTTACATTAACATCATAAGTGCATTAAAGCAGTAGAAGTAAAAAGAAAAAATTAAATTTGTGAATTTATAAAAAGCTTAGTAGAAATTGAATTATTGTTAAACTATTTATTTTAATTTCAGTGTTTCAACGAAGGTGTGATATGAAGCTGCTTTGCGAAACTCGAGTCGTTGAACGTCCTACACAGACGGTTCAATCGGCACGAGCAAGTAAAGCAACACTTGTTCTGGGTTATAAGCACAGCGAAGGCGGTGATAAAGAACTGGAGCTAGTACATTTCACACCATCTAACAAAGCTGGCATGAAATACAAGCTTGCTGGTAACATTGAAACGATACGTACGCGCTTCGTTAACGAAGGTAAGGCAACAATAAGCTTGCAAGTACCTGCTTATGATATATTAATCCAGTCGGATGTACTAACGCTGAAAAGTTTTTTGCAAACACTTCGTATTGGCCTAGAAGGTGGTGATATTAATTTGCAGGAAACTGTACATGCGACACCTATACCCGCAAAGATGCAACCGATTGAACGAATGGTCATCAGTAAACCCTCTGAATATCCCAAAGAGGGTTTCCCAGAAACTCTCCGGTTTTTGGAGATAATTAACAATGGTTTGAAGACAGTTCCTATAACTATTTGCGTACTAACCAATTTGTCATCTTTGGATTTGAGGCAAAATTCTATAAACACAGTAAGTATCAAATAAAATAAAATTCAAATTAAGAAATCTATTCATTTGATGCGAAAAATTTCTTATTAGATTGCTTTTTGTCCAAAAGTACATAGAATGTATACATACTGTAATAAGGCGGAGAGCATGAATTTCTGAAGGCGTTCAACATAGCGATTGGATACTCTAAATTATTGGTTTAATTCCAAAATTTGTTTATCTAATCTTCACAGCAGCGATAGAATAATTTCCAGATAGAATTTTTCGGTTAATTGTGCGATTCAGTATAATGAACAAATTGTTGTGTTGTTGTTGTTATAGGCCGCAAGGATCTATTACAAGGTCAGGAAGCTACAGATCAGCAACATAATGGTTGGTAGAGCTAAATTTGAGGCACACATTGGGACTTGACTCATTTATGCGTGACAAGTAACTGATTAACACATAGCTATATTGTGCTGTCAATTAAGCAGTTCTTGTTGCACGGGGAAGGCGCGGTACTTTCTGTAAGGTAGTAAGCCAAATAAGCGAAATAATTTAATTAAAAAAACAATAAGCTTTAAGATTATGTTTTAAGTATCAATAGTTTTATATAGGCTGGAATTCCTTATAAATATTTCAATGTGGTGACTAAACAAATTCTAAAATCCTTTTTACAGCTTTATTCAATGTTTATTTTATGTGCGAATGTTAGCTTTTGAAATTTTTTATTAGACAATTATAAAGATTTCGATTCAATTAGTTTACTCAAGCAATACAATCAACTTTAATAGAAATACCGAGTAATCAATCTTTAAACATCTGAGTCGATTAGTACCGAGACATTAACTCAACCATTTTTTTCATAACTTATATTCTAAATATATTATTAATAAATTTATAGAGTGATAAATAGCTCAGCTTATTGACATCCGATATATTAAGGTAACACTTTATTGTTGTGCACTATGGTTACTTTATCTGTGAATAACTCCTTGAATTAGTTGTTCTTGTTATTGTTGTTTGCACATAATTAGATAATATTGTAATATATATCTATAAAAGTATGTTCTTAGAATGGTCAATGGTCTGTTTTTTCATATGGTGTTTGGTTCGGAAATGCGATTGATTAGTCATTATACAATTAAAACATATTTTTGCTTATATTCGTTTCTTGATCCATTTGTACTAATCTTTCTGTGGTCTTCTCTTTGTTTGCTTTAATATGGTATGGTAAACATGTTGCTAGTATTAGCTGAATAAAAAGTGCTGAATAAAGACTGCTGAATCTTAAAAATAATAAGATAAAATAAATTCTGTTATTCTGACATAGCCAGTGTATGTTTTCCATTGTAAAAAGTGTTTATACTTTTTTATTATCATTTATCCATAAAAGTTATGTTTTTTCTATGAATAATTCACCAAAGAGACATAAACAATATTTTTATAAATCTTAAAATGTCTATGTAGAATTTTAATGGTTCGTTTTCATTAAATGTATCGTATATATTAGAAATACCTCTTTAAAATGTATAATATAATCATATAACTTGAGGGATAATTTAAAAGGTCAGCAGATTTTTTTCGATGCTCTATGCCAAAAAAAGACTAATTAAAACAGAAAAAAATCCAATTAAAATTATCGAAATAAATAAACCGAAAATCTTTTGGTTTTGATCATATTCATTAGTGAAGTTTATTTGCATTACAACTGTGGTCCAAAAACTAAAAAAAACAAATAAATAGTTAAATAGTTTTTCTGAAAAAAAACATTGTTTCATTGCACGAAGACATCGAATGTCTTCGTATTATTAATATTATTTATTCTATTCTTTGTCAACTACAATAGATATGAACAAGTATTTATTGTATTTTTGAATAAGTATACTGGACCCTATTCTCCTGTTGCTGCTGTAATTCTCGGAGTTCTATAGAATATTTAACATGAAAGGAATTACTCATACTTATACATGGGTTAGGATATGATAAGGAAGATGAATTGTGAAGGGTGGATTGTATAGGAACACAAATGTATTGGGGTTGGATGGGATTTTAATTGGAGTTAATCTGCACAATTTATTAGTTTGTTAAGGACTGAATATGTTTTTAATATATAAATGTTTTTTGTTTTTTGTTTTTTTAGCTACCAAATGCGCTTGGTGAATTGCAACTTCGAGCTTTGAACTTGAGTAATAATGAAATTGGTGAAAATTGCAATTGGAATTGGTTACTTGGGTCGATTCGTAAATCATTGATCAATTTAGATTTGTCAATGAATGTAATAAAGAACTTTCCATATTATTTGGTTAAATTGGAGCGTTTAGTTTCTCTTCGCTTAAATGACAATTTGATGGAAAGAGTACCATTTTCAATACGTCGCTTGCAAAACTTGCGTTCTTTACAATTGAACGCAAATCGCTTGAAAGCCCTTCCATCGTGCGTTGAGCAAATGTGCTTGCAATCTTTAGATATTGCTGGGAATTACTTTTCAGATCGTCAGCAAATCACTATAGAATACCCAACCGAAGTTCCGCCACTTTGGGTTTTGGCCGGACGTGTTATTTTGCGAAATCAGATACAGTATGATGAACCCGGTAAGTTACCGACTGTGATAGTTGATTTAATCAAGGAGCTTCCTATATGTTATTGCGGCAAATTGATCTGGAACGCTAAAATCTATGAATGCAGTGGATTAGCATATTTGCGTGCTATAAGCTTTTTGGTATCCAACGCATCACGCGAGTATTTAACTGACAATGTCATTTGCGGACGCCGTTGCTTTGGGATTTCCATACTTAATCGCTCCTAGCCTGTAATTGTCATTCGTACGTATTTAACACGTTCAATAGAATGACTATTATTGGAATAAATGATGTTATAATATACATATATTGTTAAATATGTTTTTTTACAAAAAGTTTAATTTTATATAATAATATTTTAAGTGTCAAGACTGAGTACATGATAATCTAAGTTACTAAGCTTCATTCATTTTATATATTTTAAATTTTTTGAGAAACGGAATTACCGTTTATTTTACAATTATAAAAACTCTTGTTATTAATATCATTAAAATTTGCAATTGCAATCGTAAAATAAGTAGATAAAAAAAATAATATTATTTCATATCAACTTTTAAATGAAAAATATAAGAAATATTTTATATGTTACGTTTTACATATAAGCAAAGGAATTATAAAATGTTAAATTCTGTTTGTTCTATTTTGTTGTTATTATATATTATATACAAATTTATTTTGTATT